ACACCTTTCTGATCTGTTAGCCTGGTCAGCTTTTGGATATAGGTACTTCCCCTCTACCAAGTGGAATGAAAATTCAGACATCTTTAGTTGTCTTAGATATTTTAAGATATTTACCCTCAGGTGTGAAGTCCTACATGGATCATATTGCCTYAAAGTGACTTAAGTAAGTTCTATTTTAACTTTGCTTTGTTCTTGCAGTCCATGGCTTGGGCACCTCACTTTTGTGCTAACTGCCCCCCCCCCATACTGCCTTTGCCTTTCCCTGGCTCCTTTGGAACACTGTGGGGCTTGTGTGGTTCTTAACAGCTGGCCCCCTTGGTTTGCCATCTGTCTCTATGTCTATTTTCAGGTATGGCTCAGGCCCATCTTCTTCCTCCAGGAAAACCTCTATTTATATGTTCTAAAAAGAGCTAAAAAAAGCTTAGCTTCTAATTTGATCTTTTCTGTGAGTTATTAGTAATGTCAAYAATGAGATTAATAATTTTCTGAAAATAAACCACAGATTTAAGTTTAGGTCTAATTGCAATGGTGTCTCCTAAAATGAGCATTTATTGTTACTATCAGTAAGACTGTCAACCGAGAATATGATAACCTAGTTGAGAACAACGAAAATTACATTTAYCTGGGACTGTTTAGGATTGCAATCTGGGAGAACACAGATTCAAGCATTCTTRAGAATGTGCTCTGAGGTTCTAGAAAATGAAGACTGCATTCAGAGCTTTTAGCCACCAGGGGGGCTGGAAATCACACCACTTGTTGATGGGAAACTTTAACTGGTGCTGGCAGAGGAAAAGCTGTTCTATAAGAAAGGGGCTGGTTGCAATCTTAGTGTCTGGGTAGTGGGGGTAAGGAGTCCACCCTCCAGTCAGCAGAAGTTAACAAGGAAACTGTGGTTTGGCCTAGTTAAAGGCTCAGCTGAGCTGTATCTGCGAYCTGATGAATGATGGCCTCCCAACTCCATTTTAAGTGCCCCAAAATACTGTCACTCCATTTTGGCCTTTTTYCATGGTACAATACATAAACCTTGGTTAATTTTCTTTTTCCTRTCTATACATATAGCTTTCAGGCACTTCAAGGTGAGGRGCTTATAAATGGCAGTTTCAGACTAGCAGGTACTGCTGGTGACTGGCTAGGTTTTGCCCAGGGTATCTTTCCTCAAGCATCCCTTGGTGATGGCTGCGGGCTGCAGAGTCTTTGTGACCCTTACAGCTGTGCTTCCCGGCCCACATGCCCAAGATGAGACACAAAGAGTGTGTAGTCAGATTTAATTTATTTTACTGAACTTAGACTCAAGTATGACCAATCATTCTAACAAGTAAAAAGATTCAAATATCAGAGAGAAATCTGTTTCAATCACAAGAAGCAAGCACACACCTAGGGGCTGCTGGTGAACCTTCACGTTATTGATTATCAGCACCCCTCCGTGTGCAAGTGTGACAAGGCGACCAAATGCAGAAGGTGATATGACACCACAACCCTGTCCCAGGACCCTTTCTCACTCTGAATGGAAAACATCACTTAAACAAAAGACATTTAAAGAGGTTCCCCTAGTTCTTGTAATTCCTAACTGTAAAATACGATTTGGGTAAAAGAACAAAGAATTCTCCTTGTTTGGTCACATCATCCATTTTTGAAAGGGAAACTCAATATCATAAAAAACAAAACACTGAAATAAATAAATAATTTACTSGAAGGTAGTTTTGCTGTATTGCACATGACCACACACAATTCTAAAGCAGATTTTCTTTTAAAGCTTGGAAAACACATTTGCCTTTTTCAGTTTCTTGCRAAGTGATACATGCTCCTTATAAGGAAAACTATGTAGGCCTGAGTTTAAAATTTAAATATCTGTTCATCGAGCATTTGCTATGCTAGAGTGCAGAGGTGTGGATGACAGGGGCGAGAGCCTTGAGGGTCATCAGGCAAAGCCCTGACAATACTGGCCTTAAGCCATGAGCAGCATCTTTGACCCTTGCCCCTGGAGCTGGTAGGCACTGCCTAAAGCCAGCAGTTTCAGGGGGAGGGTGTGTGTGTGTGTGTGTGTGTGTGTGTGCAAAAACAACTGGTGCAAATATAACTGTGTCTTTTCCTGTGATGTCCCTAAATGGACTGTGAAGCCTGTGAGAACATCTCCTGGAGGCATAGAAAGGAGAGCACATGACATGGCTAATGGGACATAAGCTTTTACTGGGGAGTCTTTCTACCAAGATTATCACAGAAACTGTTTCTTGGACAAAGCTTTTAKCAAGTCCCAGTTTGATTTCTTTTGCTTTCCATTGCAAGTATAGACTTGGCCGCTCTCCTTGCCAGCCCTGAACTGGGATGAACCCTCCTCTGCCTGAAGCAAGCTTCTCCTCTGCTGGCCTCAAATCCATCCCTGCATCACTTAGAGGAAGTATGTGGCCCTCTTCTCTTCCATGGGACACATAGCTCTGAGACACTACTGAGGCTCTCTGGAATACAATTTGCTGTGATGCAGTTTTCTCAATATAACACTRAGCGCCCTTGAACAGCACTATTTTTAAAATTGGAGTTGGGGCAGATTTCCTCATTTGGTAGGACACTGATCTTAAAAATAATCTAAAAGCAAAGATACRAAGTTAACTTCTGGTGGATAAGCCAGTATTTTAAGGTTGAAACTTGGTCACTTCTTTTGCCCATCTTTTTTGTGTCCACAAATGCCTATTTCCTTTCTTGAATGAGACTGTTCTTAGTCTTGTCTCCACTTTGGCACTACTGGGAGGTAGTAGAACCTTTAAGAGGTGGGCCCAGGGGCAGGTTTCTGGGGGTGTCCTTGGGCCCTGGCCCCTCCTCTTCCTCTCTCTTAGCTCCAGGTTTAAAGCCAGCAGACGGATTTTGCTCCACCATAATGTGCAATGTGCTGCTTCACACAGGGCCAAAGCAGCAAGATCAGCCCATCAGAGACTGAAAACTCAGAAACTGTGAACCAAAAAAAAAAAAAAAAAATGTTCTCTGTACAAGTTGATTCACTCAGGTATTTGTAGCAGTGACCACAAGGTAACACGGCCACCAAACTTTTCCCATAAAACTTTTACCATTCTTTGTAATGGTAAAAGGCCATTTCGCAAATATTTTAGGCCACATATAGTCTCTACTGCATATTTTTCAACATTTTTTTTAAACTTCTTTAAAAACACAAAAACCATTCTTAGYTCTAGGGTCTTTTGGATTGGCAAGTTTGCCCAGCTGCTCCAAGGAGCTGTGAGAGAAGCGTGCATGCWTATCAGGTACAAGGTAGTGTGGAATGCGGAACCCTAATCTGGGGACTTCTTTTGGAGAATGAGGTAGGTTCTTGCAACAGGATCTTTTGAGCAGGCTAACATCAGAGCTCCTTTGTGTGTCTACTCTGCCCCCCAAATGCAGAGCTGGACTAAAYTGACTTCCTCATTTAAAAGAGTGTTTGTTTGCTTATTTATTCATTTATCTATCCTGGATTGAACCCAGGAGACAGTCCAGCATTTTTGTTTGTTTGTTTGTTTGTTTCTGTAAGACAGTACAGAAAACAGTTGCCCAGCCTTGCCTCACACTTGGAATCCTCCTGCCTCAGCCTCCTAAATTGCTGGAATTACAGGCTTCAAGAGTGTTTATTTAATCGAGTAAGTTTTAATGAAGGACTATTTAAATCTATTCCTGGGCTAGCTTCTCTTTGTCTTGATTTAAAGGTAAAACCACAAACTCTAAGCATTTATACATTTTATTCTACAGGGTAGGGCCCTGCTGTTCCAACTAGCTGGCAATAGAGAAGCTAAACTGTAACTGCACTTACTTTTCCTCAATGACACCACCAGGGTCCACAAGGCTCTGAACTCAAGGTGTGGCACAGCTCAGTGTGCTCCTGGGGTATYGATGGCAGCTCAACTGCACTGGATTTAAGTGGCTGGCGGCCAGCACTTCAGATGCTATAACATCTGCCTTCTCTAACTCTCCACCAATAACTTTCTTCTTTGCTAGAATATTCACTTTGAAGAGAATTAAAACATTCACATTTCTTTTACAAATCAGTAATCTTTGAAGTCATCAATAGACACTATGTCTTATAATTAGTAATCAATCAAGATAAATTTCAACTCCTTTTTCTAGCTTAAACAGGGATTCAGAATTTGAATTRTTTTTCTAATCAATGATTTTCTAATAAATAGCTAATGGGTTCTCAGAATACCAACTGCTGCCACCTACATTAATTTAACCGTTTTAGGGTCCAGAAATGTACAAACACGTAMTCTCACAAAAGAACTTCTTAAAAAAACTGAGAATTTCTAAACTAAGAATAGGTGAAAGGCAAATGCCAATCCAGTTGTCCTTTTTAGGTTTTTGCTTAAAGTGTCAAATYTGCTTTCTTCAAAATGTAAATTTACTTCTTGTGTTAAATTCAGTTTTCCTTGGCCCAGATTTACTGGGGCATGCCAGCCACAGTTGCAGCTCTAAGCAGCCCTTAACATGGGGTCGAGTCTAGTCTCTAAACCTGAACCAGGAAAATGAACTTTAAAAAAAAAAAAAACAACTTTTGCATTTAAAAAAAAAATTTCTTAGTAAGTAAAACTGCTAAGACAACTTTTAACAGGGGGCGGGGAGTAGGGAGTGGGAGGGGGACGTTATACTAACTTGAAATTGGAAAAAACTGCATAACTCAACAAGCACAAATGAACTTCTAAGAAATGCTGAAGCACCTAGAAGTACACGCCTGCTCAGTTCTCATGAAGTTTAACTAAAAAGAGGGAAATTTTATGAATTCCCCAATTCTTTCAAAAACAAATTTTCTAAGGATGCTGAAAGATGGGATAATGCACGCAGTTACCTGCAGTTAGGAAAGGAAACAGCAAGGAGCACTTCCTAGATCRAATGATGCAAAGCAGCCAGTGCAGGGCGCCTGTCCCTCTCTCTGGGTCCTCAGCATTTTTCACAMGCTCTGGTCAACAGTTCACATCTTTCACTATCAGTTTTAAAAATAGTTTCCTCCTGGTGCTTTTTTTTTTTTTTTTAATCTATTTTGGACATACTGATTTTGAATTTTTAAATCTGCAAAGAAAACACACAGGGGCAGACCTGCACAATGAATAAAAAATAAATATCACCCTCTTYAGGTTGGAGCTTYCAAAAAAGACAGAGGGTTATAATKTGCCTTCTGGGTTCCGTACAAGTGTCAATCTTCAGTCCTATCTCCACTGACTGACAGAAAGCATCTTTCCTACCTGCCTCCAAAATCAAAGTGCATTTGTTGAAAATTTAYCATATCTTAAAGAAAAACCCACAAATCTCATTAATTTTTGGCAGACACCTTATGCAGCAAAAATCAGGTGAGTTTCCCTTTTTTCTACTCCTCAGTTAAAGCTGTATTCAAAACGGCTAMAGGCAGTACTTTCTAGACAGCAGGGCCGACATACAATGGATTTTGTTTAAAAGAACGAAAAGGGAAAGGAAAAATAAAACCATCTGAGAACACAGAGGAGAAACCCTGAGGCAAAAATGGCTTTTCCTATAAAAGTCTTGCCACAGCTGTGCCTGCGTTCACAGGGTGCCGGCCACCTTCTGGGAGGGCAGGCCTTCCTCCATCCAGAGTGCTGCGGCTGAGCTGTGGCGGGGTGAGCGTCGGTGGATGCGTCGCAGCCTTAGCAGGTAGAGGAGGATGGACAGCAGGACCACCAGGAAGCAGCCAGAGAACAGGTAGTGGTTGTAGACAAAGGAAACRCCCCGCCAGTGCGCATGACTGGCCCGGAAAACATCCTGCTGGATATCTCTGCCCAACGGAGGAAACACAACAGAAACAGGGTAAGAGGGGCTGGGTGGAAACCATGCCTGCAGGAACTCAGCCGCAGGGCCTGGCATGGGCCTGACCCTAGACACAGCTGAGAGCTGGCCACTGACRCTCAGTTTCCCCACCTCTGAGATGGAGGAGAGTAAGGCTGCACTAGGGTACTTGGAAGTCTGTGGTAACACGTGAAGGAATGCTCTGAGTCCCTACCAATTACCAGCATGATAAACTGGGTAGCAAAAATCAGAACTATKAGGGTTTCACTAACACAAGGAAGTCAACACAATGTGAAACCACACAGTAACCCTATCTAAACAATTTTTGCAGTTGATTCAACTAAAAGTAYGATTAGAAGATGCTCAATTAAATGGGATAAAGAGTTGATATCTCMTTTATAGGTTAACCAGAGGTTGTTTTGGCTCTGGTACAAGGGATTGAACTGTGCATCTTAGGCAAGCACTCTGCCAGACCACATGCCCAGGAAACAGGGTCCTTAACATGGGGTCGCATCTAGTCTCTAAACCTGAACCAGGAAACTAAAAAAAAAAAAAACTTGTGCATTTAAAAAAAATTTCTTAGTTGTCAATGGACTTCATTTTATTTATTTATTTATTTATGGTGCTGAGAATCAAACCCAGTGCCTCACATATACTAGGCAAGTGCTCTACCACTGAGCTACAACTCCAGTCCCCAAAATGTACATCTTTATTTCAGCAATCTCAGACTGAAGTTTAATATTTAATATTTTCCTTTAATCATGAATGTAGACAACAAATTATTGTAATATTAGCAGTACCTATGATTTGGTTACTAATGAAATATCTCATTATTGTAATTGATGCCTCAAAGTACCATGGATGCTCATAATTACACTGAAATTATAGAAATAACTAGTTCTAGGGCCAGATCTTGATATTTAATGTGCTAATAAAGAACACATACCACTTTATGACAAGTGTGTTTTCTGTAATCGTTGGATAAATGCATTTCGATGTAATGGTCTCCTGTACAACCCTCTGAACCCCTGGATCAACCATTCTGTAGAGGTTAGAGGACAGCTGGGAATAATCAAACACGGGCAACAGCACAAAGTGCTGTGTATTGTGGGGTGAGCAGGGTGGGAAGGGAGCAAAGCCTTGTGAGGAGGGGAGGAGACCAAAGTGAAGTGTCAAAGACTCTTAGTYCTGCCCTGGGCAGCTCTGAGAGCAACACACTGACATCCACAAAACAAAGGTGCCACGGGCCCTGAACTGGAGAGAAGCATCYTTTGTGGTCCTCCTTACCAAACCTGTTGCCTACCTCAATGGTAAGAAGCGGGTCCTGTAAAGGATGGCCCCCAGGGTCCAYTGCACTTCCTTGTCATACACCTGCAAGGCCGTCTTCAGGTTTTTATAGCCAACAGGAAACGAGAAGCCCTCGTGGAACACCTCAAACATCCAGGCTGATTTGAAGCACTGATACCTACAAACACCAGGCACAGGAGTCAGAGCCACTCACATGTCAGAATGGGCCCAGCACAGAGATGAATGGGCTTTAGCAGGCAAGCCCTCTGAGCGGCCAAATCAGCTGCATATTTCCAGCCAATTACCTGGCTCTTGCCTGCTCCCCACAACATGAATAAGTTCACCTGCCAAAATTGATTAGCTTGTGAAGTTTGGTTTTGGTATAACTGAATCCATGAACATGACAAATTTTTCCCATTAGGGATTCCAATATTTACTGAAAAAACATTGAGTAAGTTCTAACTCTTTGGACCTCAGCTTATTTCAAAACGAGAAGGTGGAAGACAAGAATGGCGTGAATTTACATACAACCAGAGATATGAAACATAACTGTGCTCTATATGTGTAATATAAATGCATTCTGCTGTCATATTTAACAAATTAGAATTTAAAAAAAAACAAAAAAATGAGAAGGCGGGAAGGTCCTTCTCTGCTCTGATATTCTGTGATCCTAAATGTTTACTAGCAGCTTATTTTTTGCAAAGCACTGTGCTATGCATGTAATAAGATGTAATAGTAAATGAGGCACAATCGCTCCATTTGAGTGGCTTATAATGAAAGGGAAGTTTAAAAAGGCAACAAACAACAACAAACCAAAGCAGAATAGGATCCATGCTTTAGAGGGGTATGATGAGTGTCGTGGAGACTCAAGAGCGGTGGAGTCAGGGTGAGTGGACAGAGGAAGCCTGGAAAGGGACAGCATCTGACATAACTCTAACAAACAGGGGGATTTCAAAATTGCCCCCCAATATATATATGTGTGTGTATATATGAATGTATGTTATGTCTGATATGTCCAGGAACAAATGTTTGTCCCATATGGAAGAGTCAAGGGTAGATGAAAAAGGCATAGTGATTGCAGAGAATAAGGATGTATACTGGGCCAACACTGAACTACTACTGGTCCTTAAAAGCACCTGCATCTTGACTGTCTACTACTTACTTAAGCCGATGGAGGTCAGCATGCGAGGCATAGAGTCCACGGTCAAAGCGATCCCTCAAGATTGACCACTTTGTTGCACAATAGTCCTAAAAGCAATTTCACCCAAAATAAATCATCAGGAAAGACTTATTAAAACATTTTGAATTAAAAAACAATATCAAACTCATCTGCATAACAAGCAGATCCTTCCAACCAAGAAACATGGCATCAGTGCAGTGAGGGCCAGATACGCAGCGTGCTGGCTGGTTAGCAATGCCGCGGTCATTCTACCCCAACCACTCTGCCTGGAATCCCTAGAGAAGCCCGCCACCTACGGGAAGCCACCTGTGAAACACATGAGGACCCTCTCTCACATGGGAGCCAGGGGCGGATAGGCCCGGCACTGGGAATCTTCTGTGGCTCTCCCACACAATGGGTTGCCCAATGCACGTGGCCTTTCCGTCTGTTCTGCTAGAAAGGTCCTTCTCGGTAGTATGGAGATGGTGTATCCTGCTAGGAACTGAACAGGCCACCTTAATCCTATTTTGGTGATGAACATTCTATGGAAGGCCTTYGATGTTTCCCGATATAAATAAAGCAGGCGTGGGCTCCATTTTTGCCAGAAGCTGGATTCCTCTGATCAGCTTGCCTGTCCTGCCTCTGCTTTTGAAATTRCTTTCTGTGTTCTGTGGGTTTTTCAGGCTATTTTATTTCTCTTGGCTTTTATTTCTCAGCCAGCCCATTCCACCAAGGGGAACCCTGTTTCCCCCTGCACAGGAT